TGATTGGCCCAGGCAGTCAACACGACTCGGCTGCGAACCTCCGCTCCAGCCTTCTCAGCAATCTCCAAGGCCGGAGAACGCCATAAGAAACACTTTTTAGGCTTTTCAAGCACAGCTTTGGTTCAAACGCATCTAGAAGGCCAAGGAGAAACAGAAAGCGCGCAGTTGCAATTTTCCCGAACCACAGCCTCTAAAGACTTCTCTTTCAAGCCTTCTTGAAAGCGGGGTCTGTTATGCTTACACAATTCACTTCCACTGAACAGTAACAAAGTTTTGATCCACAAGTTCTCAATATTGTGCCTATCGTCAAAAAACCGATAAAATTTCAAGTCAGCATGTTAATTAATAACCACAGACATTTATAGTCGAGATTTGGTTGCTTTGACCATGAAACTCCCCAATGAAGAAATCGCTGCTGGTGGCTTACACGACACTAGTGCGTCACCTCTGCTTCGCAGAGGCTCGCACTGGCCCTACTTTCTGTGTGCCTTACTCATTTCCTCATTAATAACATTGGAACTCACTGCGCTATAGGCTATCACGAATGACCCGTAAACAACTACTCATTCCTAGAGGTTTTTCGTGCGAGATTGGTACGGGTAAATGAAATTTTTTCGGAAAGAACAGATGCAAATTTGAATAGGTTTTTGGAATTTTTATGGCTTGACAGTCGCTACAAGGACAATAAACATCGTAGGCTACATTTTTGTGCAAGAATCTTCTCAAATGATTAGGTAAAATCTTGGCAAATCGGACATTCACGCAACTAACTCTTTTTAGCTCTATTTTGGTAGCTAACTTTAGTTCAGTTTTCTGGGCTAATGTTCATGTCTTCCACATTAGCTTGTCAAACATATCTCTAACACCACAAAAAGTGGTGGTAGAGGCCCAATTTTGCTGGTCAAAGCGAGTTGGATCTGTTTGACGCGCAATTTTTGAAAGATCCACTCAGCGGATCCGCGCGTGCTCTTGCATAGTGGACTTTTACGATGTTAGCTTGCGCCATGCAAACTTTGGGCCCAGGAAGTTGGCTGAAACACGCTCCTCGAATTTCGTAACAGACAGACGGACACACATACAAAAACATGTAAACATCCTTTCCCGTTATTATAAGTCATGATAGAAAGGACTCAACGAATTTAGAGGAAATTGATTTTCTAGAAAGTTTGGCGTATTGGGTCGTCCCGAAAGTATTAGGTCGTCCCGAAAGTTTTGTCGGTTTTTTTCATCGCTCACCAAACCTCACAGAGCACCATTCCATGAACGGCTTAGATGTCATTCTATTCATATTTTTATCCTCTTTCTTATAGCTATATTTGTTCCTTGATCTACCCCGTCTTTGCGATGTTATCGCCATGGATTTTTGAGCACCTCAACAGTAACGTCAAGATTTTCCTGAATTTTCAAAATTTTTATCTTGAGATTTTCGAAAAGCGCTGGTGACTGTTATGTAGGGCAGACCTTTGGCTACATTGTGGCTATTTTAGATTACGTGGGCCACGTTTATCAAGTCCGTAATAATTATTTATTTGAGAAAAACCGCGGCTTTCTGAACACGTTTTACCACGTAAAATTACCGAAAATTCCAAAAAGCTGATTTTTAAAGCAAATCAAACTTGGTTATGTTGCATAAATGATATTTAATAACAATCAAGTTTGAATTTGCAAAAACTTCAAAAGCTTTCATGCTTTTGCTGCAATTGCGCGTTTCATGACTCAGCCAAAAATCGAGACCTCAAAAGAAATAATTTTTTGAAGTCAAAATCAGCAAATTAGGAGAATCTAAAAATACCACCTTGTAGCCCGAGAATTGCTCTATCTGACCCATACTTGACCTTTTTCGAAAATTTATAACGAAATTTTTAAAAATTAGCTCAACTTTGAGCAGGTAAAATTGACAGGTAGAGAATTTCGGCAATTACCAAAGAAAGCATTTAACAGCATGGTATGAAAGTGCATCCATAAGAAAGAGAAGGAAAAGCTGCATCGAATGCATGTTGAAACTCACTCAGGTCTTTATCGTGCGTGGTTTTACAGTGGTCTGAAAAAAGCGACAAAACTTTCGGGACAACCTAATATTTTCGCTTTTTTCAAACAATCGCCACGGTCTGCAGAACAAACATCCTTAAAAGACCTTGAAATCATTCGATGCAGTTTTTTATGTTCTTTCAAATGGTCATCTTTGCATTGCAAACTGCGACCCACTTTTTTACCAAGGTCAAATTTCGCTATTTTTCTAAATTTTCGTATTGGCTATCCGAAGAAGCCCAAGTAACCTGCGGATAGAGCAAACCAAGTAGGATACAAAACAATTTCTGTCCTTTCCAAATCTTACTTCACAAAATTTTTAGAGATATTTTTTGATGCTATCAAATTCTATATTTCGTCAACTTGGACCTCATAGAGCATCAATCGGGAAGCAACTCGGGTGTTATTCGTTTCAGCACCTTCTCCTCTTTCAGAGACATGTTTTTTCTTTCTGATTCGTAAACTTTCAGAGGACAAAATCGACAAAATTCATGTTTTTGATGGCGCCCCAAGATGTACCCGAATAAATCAAAATCTGATATTTCGAACTTGGAAACGCTCATTTGTCTTGTAAAATTAGTAATGAATCCTAATCTATCTTTAAGTGTATCAAAAACTGAGAATTTCTTAGAGTTTGACGAGTCTTCGTCTGGTATGGGTTTGCTAAATTTCGATAGTGTTGTTTGAAATTTTGTCAAAAAACTATGGAGAGCTCTGGGAAGGAGAAAAAAATTGTTTTGTATCCTACTTGGTTTGGTCTATCCACAGGTTACTTAGGCTTCTTCGGAGAATCAGTACAAGAATTTAGAAAAATAGCGAAAGTTGACCTTGGTGGGTCAACTTTCGCTATTTTATCACTACCCAAAAAGTGTGGGTCGCAGTTTCTGGTAATTTTCTGAAAGCTTGTTCGTTAAACTGCAATATAAAGATAACTATTTGAAAGAGCATAAAAAGCTGCATCGAATGCTTCCAAGATCTTCGATTTGTTCTCCGGACCGTGGCGATTGTTTGAAAAAGCGAAAATAGGACGATCTAATAAGACTTTTGTTACGATTCATTATTTTTGTGCAAATGTTTTCCTCATAGCAGGGAAGCTACTAGGTCATAAATAATTTTGTTTAAGGTACAATTTAAAGCTCTGTAACAATTCAAACAACTGTTAGTTATCTTTGATTCTTCGTGAATGCGTAGCATCAATCTTTATCTTCACACATTACGTATTAGGGTGATCACTAAAAAATGGGACACCTAGAGAATAAATGTAGATTTCTCAAAAAAAGAAAAATGATTAAAATTCCCAGTTTTGATAGATGTTAGAATAGATTATTCTTTTTCAGAAAATACCTATATAAGGTCATTTACGTAACTAATAATTTTTATAGTGGCTGAAATGCAAAGTTAGTCACTTTGACAAATTATAAACTTCGAGCAGTATTTGCGCAGTGAAACATGCGAAATCATCCAAAGTACCACTACCACTGCTGCAATGCGTGAAGGTACAGTCACCAGACCCACGATGGGTTGGTGTAAACTTTCAAATTCAGGAGAATGGCCATTAGCAGCTCTGAGAACGAAGATACGTGCTATTCAATGCTTTGCAGGTGAACGCTTGTTCTATAGGTACCATCTGAAAGAGCTTTTTACGCCCTATCCATCCATATGCAATTTACCTCACAGTTTATCTATCTTCGGAAAATGCAAGGCAAAACATGATTTTTTGGTTTTTATTGCGCCAAAAAAGTCGCGATTTTTCAGGTATTTCGCTCTTTTATCCACAAACAGAAAGCAATCCTATATGTTTAATATATTGTTTAAAAGAGCATGAACAGTTCTTTCGAATGGTATGTCAATTGCTCTATAACTTTGCGGTATGGCAGCGCAAGAATGAGCGAGGTTCAAAAAATCCTGTTCGAGTTCTTCAGGGCGCCACGCGTAGGGTTGTGGGCTTAAACTTTGGCTTTTGGCAAACCACAAGCAAAATTGTGAATTGCTCTTTGGGAATTTCTACAGGCAATATCGTAAAAAGTGCGGAACATTTTCGCGAAGAGGTAGATTTGGGCCCTTTAGATTGCTTGAAATGACCATCTATGGTCAAGCAAATGTTTGACAATATCAAAATCGTATGTGTGCATACCACTCGTGCATTTTACACCCAATTTCGGGTGGGGGACCGTATGTCGCTATAGCTGTCGCTATAGCTCGAACCAAATGCCCGCAAGGCCATCTAAGTCCCTAACGGGTGCACAGCTCTATAATCTCAACCTAAGGCTAATGATCGTCAGTACACATATACAGGGAGCTCATGCTTGCACGCACGCAACGGTAGCACATAACTAAATTTCATAATTCTCATAAGGAAAGCTACCTGATGTAGCTCGGCCTTTTGGTAAAAGGCATATATGTTCTGAATCAGCTCGAAACGCTGATTCCAAATATGCTATCCCTAGCTGCCACGCACAATTCCGAAGCGAGTTATGGGCTTTTTCCTACGCAAAATTGGTATACTACTGAACATGAGAAGACTGCCTGTAGATAAAAATCTGCAAGAAAAAAGTGCTGAGTTATCGAAATAGTACAAATCCAATCTTTTCTCACCAAAAATGCACCAGCACTTAAATGATGATGACGTGATGACCGTGAGTCGATGAGCATGTAAATTCTGCGCAGGAAAAAGCCCATAACTCGTTTCGAAATGGTGCGTGGCAGCTAGAAATAGCATATTCGGAATCAGCGTTTGAAGCTGATTCAGACTATATATGTCCCTTGCCAAAAGGCCGAGCTAAGTTAGGTAGCTTCCCTTGGCAGAAGCTTCCAGCCAATTTCAGAACGAGCAGAGGTTCTCAGCATACTATAGCGTCGCTGTATGTTTACCTCTGTTACTATACAAAAGTTTGGTCAAGCCAATGAATAGTCTCAGTTTGCCTATTCAGTGAGAAATGCAAGTTAGCTTTACTTAACATATTGCAAATGAGACACGCGCAACGTTCAATTTATACAGTCAATACTTTCGCCGGTAAATTTATTAGCTAGATTGACTATGCCGATGTCAAAGGTTTTTTGAGGTGTAGGACCTTCGGTGACGAAGTCGGCCGGAACGGCAATACCAAATTTTCTGTAGCATATCTGTAATTGCAGAAAACCTCTAGTTATGAGAATGTGTATGTATACGTATATGTATATGTATATGAAATGAATGAAAGGGTGCAATGAATTTTCTTACACCATTATAGTCGCACTTGTGATAGACGTTTACTTGTGGATCAATAGTGCTCACTTCTTTCTTTGAACCAGAAAGATGAAATTCACCGCTTTCGTTGGTTCTTCCTTCATCCATTTTCACATCAAGTACTTAAAAAAGAGTAAATTACTAGCTTGCAAGGCTTGGAAAAAAACTCACTCAATTCCTTTTCGTACAATTTTACTTTGACATCAGCAGCAGGCTTTTCATTACATACCAGACGTCCAGTGACCGCTACAGATTGTGTTGAGCCAACTTTCGAGATGACGAATGAGAAAATAAAACCAAAAATTGTTAGAAGTTGCATCTAAAACTAACATCATTAGCGGGTTCACGTTTTGCAAACAAGGGAAGTGAAACGATGCAGAAGGAAGAAGACCATGCAGTTATTGCGCACATATGTCATCACGCAGTAATAGAGATATTGACAGTTGAACAGTGAACGAGTTTAGTGGTTTACAAACAGAAAGATGCCATTTGTCGTGAAAGCGAAAATAAGGAAAAAATTTCCAAAACTTTGATAGTAGTGTCCGGTACACAACAGCTTGTTACGTTTTCAGAATAAGGATTGAAAATGCAACTTATTAATCTTGAGTCTGATAGTTCCGCTCAACTGTCTGATGAATTTCGCAGATTGTGCGCTGCTATAAAGCTCAAGGTGGTCTGCCTGTATGAGAAAGTGGTGGTCGCAGAATTTCCGTTAGAGGAGGGGGGGGGGGAAAATGAAAGCGCGTGGCGTCAGCCACGCACTTCAAAGAATATTTTGGGGTAACTCTCAAAATTTTTGCGGGTCCGTAAACCCTCAAATCTAGAAAAAGACCGGGAAATTCCGTGTGGGGATTGATATTTTGGTGATTTTTTGTGCAAAATCATTGGAACTAATAAGTCAAAAATAAAGAATGGCACCAAAAACTGTAGAAAAGCTTGCATTTGAGACTGGATCAGCCACAGATCTGTTGATGCGGGAAGACAGACGTGTGATGCTGAGCTTTGAAATTTAATTTTGCGGGTTTGGTAACCACTCAATCAACAAGCTACTTTGTGCTCTGTGTGAGAAAATGCCTATGGCGGCTCACTGTGATCTAGAAGCCAAGAGACGTAATCGAAGCATCGTAAATAAGCGGCATTCCTAAAGCAAACGAAAGTCAACGATGCCTCCAGCTGGAAAACACCGTGAAGTACTGAATGTGTTGAAAGTGAATGCAGGCATGTTGAGTTACTGACTGAGAAAAACTAATCTATTCCGCCTCAGGCTGTTTCGTTATCAACGCCACTTTGAATGCGCAGAAGGTCTCAAGCATGCGTTTTTTCTACAAAACGCTGTTGCTTCGATGCTCTCTTGCAGTCTTAATGTCTGAGGAGAAGAACAGGAGAAGAGCAAAGCGCGTTTCCTTTCTGGACAAAAAGGGTCGTTGTAACAGCTGTTCAATTCGCCGTTTGCCTTGATGCTAGTCTCAACCTCAGGTGAAAGTGGTCAGTTAGATGCCGACCCTAAAGTGAAGGGGTTCAGAAGAATTTCTCCACCTATCGCATCTATGCTTGGGGGAACAAAGACTCAGGGGCTTCATGCGGCAAGACATCCTTCTAAGATTGTCCAGGGGGAAGCCTTGAGCGAGCCTTGGTCTCGCTTTGAGAAATGACTTCGGGAGACATTATAAGGAGAGCATAGAGCTGTCCATGATCGCGAAGGTTGATGTGAGAGCATAGAGCTGTCCATGATCGCGAAGGTTGATGTGTTCGCGGCCGTGCGCAGTTCCTGAGAGTCAGCCTGAGTCAACCATGTTTAGGAGCTGTAATATATAGGGTAGGGTATGCAAGAAGAACAGCATAGATGATCTGGAAATTACTCATTGTCAAAAGTTTCCTTGAGAGCATGATCTTGTTTGTACTACTGCTTACTTGTGCCAAAGATCGTTGATGTTCAGTTTCTTGCTATTCTTGGTTGCATACAGGCGGTTATCAATGTATCTGCCTCAACCCACTTACTAGCGACCTCAAAGGCAGTGTCCAAGCTAAACCTAACCCCACCGATTAGTGTCGATCCTGAATGTAGGCTCCACAAAAGGGGCATTTGCGCTGTTTCAGTCTTCTAACGTTGGTTCTGAACGGAGATGAGGGGCTGCAAATCTCTGGCTGGGCGGAGTCTGATATCAGATTGTCAGGGACTGCCTCCCGACACGTGTTGATATGTCAGTGAGCAGAAGCTGCGTACTGCTGCAACCATACCTTCGATAGTCTAGAGACAGGGCGTCAAAAGTGAAGGTTGTTTGAACATCTGACGTCATAAATAGTGAAGGTTGTTTAAAGATGATCAGAGAAGAGAAAATGACATAAAACAGATACAAAAAGCAAAAGAAACTGCTGAAAATAGGATAAAAACGCTGCAATGAGGTTTAAAATCTTTCATTTGGCGGCTTTTCAGAGTGCAAGTTTTCGTTCCAGGACCACCAATTCGCAACACGGGGTTTTGATTTTGATGAATTTTTACCCCCGCATTGACGTTCCGTTTCCTGGGACATTGTCTGGATTGTTGCGCTTATTGTTCTGAGCAACAATCGCCCAAGTTGGAAAAAAATCGATGCGAAAGCACTGAAACTGAACAAGGCAAAGAAAAACGCACTTTTTACGATTTTTCGCAAAAAAGTTCCACCATAATCCAAGAGATGAGGGTTGGGTGGTTGTCTGCCTTATGAACAGAAGCAAGATTTATAGAATGCACGAAAAAACCGGGTAAAAAGAGGTAAACTAGAAGAAAAACAAGAGATTTTGGAAAACAAGGTTTTTGCCGGATTTCTCGTTCAAATCAAGAAATGTGATTTTGGGACGTTGTCAGCGTGAAAATATAGATCAAGAGCTTCAAAATGATATATAGCTTGCTAAGATTGGGTTCGAAACAACGAAGAAAAGGGTACCAGAGCCAAATGCCCCGCGCCCCGCGTTTGGGGTAGCGAGGTAGCGCGCAGCGCGCGGAGACGCAGACGAGCAGCGGAGACAGACCAAAGCCGACGGAACATTTGGCTCTGGTCGTAGATCTCGTCGGGGTCTCAACGAAACCCTGTAACATTATATATCATTCTGACCGTCATGACACGACGAGGAGAGCTGACAACGTCCCAAGCTTTAGAAATCACTTACTAACGAGATAGACCAGCATTTTCGTGCGCGACTCTCTGCGCATAATTAAGCGCAGTTTCTCATTTTAATTCAACTCCAACAGCTTTCCAAACTTTTGAAACTCATTTTTGGTCAAGTAAGAGGCTAATTGAGGAACGTTGTCCTGAATTCTGAGCAAATTTTCACAGAAATTCTCTTTTCAGCGTAAAAAAGGCTTTAAAAAAAGCAAATTCTCGGTTTCGCTGAGACATTCAGATATTCTTTCCTATATTTGGTTCATTCACATTCTTCCGATATAGTCAGGATAATAACATCCGGGGCTTCGCCCCGGATGACTTCTGTTTTTTTCCCAGGTTAAGGTTGTGTCCCCTCATAGCCCTCAAAGTGAAGGTCACCAGAGTATGTGGCTCTATGTATCGAGGGTATGGCTGCAACTGCACCCATGCAGTTGCAACTCCTCCCCGCTGGCCTGCCGACGATACGAGCGACTCGAAACTCGTCTGCACCCTCAAGTTAGGGTCCCCAGGAATCAGTTTTTTTTGTTATTTTGAAGAGTTTGAAGTTTGGAACTGTAATCAGGGCCACGGAAAGGCCCCAGAATGATGAAAACATGAAAGGCCAAATTCTGGGTGGACGTTGCCTTTAAAGGCACCGTCCACCCAGATTCTGACTTCAAGTTTATGTTGTTTCAGAACCTTCTCATGTCCCCGATTCCGAATACGCAGTCGAGAATTCAAGAAAGTCCACAACTCCCGTTCTGGGGAACCCACAGGCCGCTTTTCGGAACGGTGATTGGACAAATTGGCGGGCATGGATGGGGAATCCAGATTTTCTCGCTTTTAAAGCGACATTGTGTCGCGACTTGGGCACTGGCATGATAGGGGGCCCTACTATCATATGCTGCCAAAAGCTCAAAGCCCCAATGTAGAGTGGACGGTGCCTTTCAGGGTCGCTAGTCCGATTTTATAATAGACAGGGCCGGGCGAGCCGGTCTCTGTCTATTATAAGATCGTACTAGCTAATTGACAATAAAAGAATGTGCAAATCTGTTTATATTCACCATGTGTCCATTTCCTTGCTGTATCGCATGAGCTCATTGGCCACTGAACGCTAAGCTAGCGTAAAATAAAGTTTGATGGATTCGATCGCAATGTTTATACGCAACATATGAGCTTATTTGGAAATTTTTAGGATGAAGTGCTTTTCTCAGCGTTAAGTAAGAGCTAATATGCTGGCTCAGATATTCTTTAGCTGTTTTGACATACCCAGCTGAAAGGAGATAGCGGGGTAATTGTATTGTACATATTGGAGATAAAATTTACGTGCAAAATTGGTGCAAATCTTATATAAAAAGCTGAATGTCTGTTTGTATGTCTGTCTGTCTGTCTGTCTGTCTGTCTGTCTGTCTGTCTGTCTGTCTGTCTGTCTGTCTGTCTGTCTGTCTGTCTGTCTGTCTGTCTGTCTGTCTGTCTGTCTGTCTGTCTGTCTGTCTGTCTGTCTGTCTGTCTGTCTGTCTGTCTGTCTGTCTGTATGTCTGTCTGTGTGTACGTATGTTCCGAATAGAAAATTCCATTTCTGAACCGATCGGGACCAAACTTGGCACACATACACTTCGGGCCCCGGCGGGTGTCATAGGCTACTTTTCGTACCGATCGATATCGATTTTATCGATTTTCTGCAAAATTTGAGCTACGGGGCTGGAAGTTGGCACAGGGGGGGGGGGTAATCGAGCATGCTGATCACCCCCGTGGGGGTGATCAGCATGCTCGATTATACCCCCTGCCAAATTCCAGCCCCCTAGCTCAAATTTTGCAAAAAAATCGATAAAATCGATAAAAGTAATGCACGGTTTTGAAAACAAATATTGTATTCGTAATCAGCATGCTCGATTACCCCCCTGTGCCAAATCCCAGCCCCCTGGCTCAAATTTTGCAAAAAATCCATAAAATCGACATCAATCGATAACGAAAAGTGGACTGTGACACCCGCCGGGGCCCGAAGTGTATGTGTGCCAAGTTTGGTTCGGATCGGTTAAGAAATGGAATATTCTATTCGGAACATACGGCGGAGCCGGGTATGCCAGCTAGTCTGTTTATATTCCCCTGTATGTGTCCGTTTCCCTGCTGTATTTGATCTGTACAATCAATTCTTCATCAGTAAACATGTCAGCTAGAGTGATTGTACTAATATAAAACTTTTTGTTCAGTGTAGGGCCTTCAGTGACGAAGTCATGTAAAATGGTTTTGCCAAGATTTTCGTAGCAATTCTGTAACCAAAAAATATAGCCATGAAAATGCGAGAAGTTTGGAAGGATTTCCTACTTTTTTATAGTTGCATTTGTGATAGATGTATGAGGATCGACAGAGCCAATTGCTTTCTTCAAACCAGAAAGATAAAATCCGGTTGTGGTGTCCTGTATTCGTCCATTTTGACATCAAATGCTAAAACAAAAAGCGGTCAATCACCACCTAATAGGAAAGCCTAAAAACTCACCCAGCTCCTTTCCTTTATAGCTTTTGCAATACTAAGGATTGTTTAAAGTTGCGCCTGTAAGCACTTATAATTTAGCGAATGTTTCGAGTAAGAGGAAGTGAAACGGATTAGGCAGAATAGCTGACTTCGCCACAATTTGCCAAACAGCCGAAATGGAGACATGGAAACAAGCAAGAAACAAATTTCCATTTCTTTTTGAAATCTCAAATTTTTTTATGCACTAGAAACTACTCGTTTCCTTCCAATGAAAATTTATTGTTTCTTGATGAATAATAAATTTTATAGAGTCAAATTCGAAAGTTAACATAATGTTTTGGAATTGTCGACAACATTTACCTGGGACGACATGCTCTTTACGGTCATTTTTTACGCATAAGTCGCAAGCAAACTGTCATCATTCACAAATGGTTTTTGATCCCGTGCGAATGTTGCCTCATTCAAGAGCTCTATAATAATTTTGAAATTTAGTAAAACTACATATGATTCACATAATAACCGGAAATGGTTTTGCGATGGGTTTTGTAGTACTCCTAGAATCAAAAACTATAGGTATGAGAAATGCGGGAATGTACGAAAGGTTTCTTCCTCCTTTGTAGCGTTTGACAAATGTATGCTTTCTAATCAATAGTGCCGAATACTGTCTTTGAACCTAAAAGGTAAAATTCGCCGGTTTGATTATTCCTGCCTTTGTCCATTTTGACATCATATACTACTAAACCAAAATTAGCCGATCACTAACGAGAGAAAAGATCAAAAACTTGCTTAGTTCCTTCCGGACGCATCACACTGACATCTAGCTGGCTTTCTTATTGCAAAACAAACGTCCAGTGACAGCTAAACTGTGTTCTACGGAATTGAAAAAAAGCTAGCGAGATTTTTGCAACTTCGAGGATTATGTTCATTTGTAAACCAACGTTAAATGTTTCGAGAAGTGAGAGGTGAGAAATAATTGCGTTCAACTTTGCCAATCAGATCAGCAGTAGAGATGTAGGGTTGAGCGACAAGCAGTCGCACTGCCCAGGGTACCTTCCGCTGAAAGAAGGTACCCCAAGCTTGGGTAATCAAACATCGGTGACACCTCTTCCATGTAAAGTATTACCTTTGCTCAGCGTAATTCCAAAACTGCGTAAAAAGAGCTCGAGCGCCTGCTGGAAGTTCTGCCCGCCCTCGCTGAAAGAAATTATTCGACGAGCGCCTGCAGAAAATGCAGTATTGCCCGCTGGCAGATTATGTGACAGTAATGGGAGTATCGCCCGCTAGAGATTCGGCCACGCCCCAAAGTTCTGCTGATCGCCTGCAGAAAAGCGCGAGTTTGCAAACCGCCTGCTCTCGGCGATTATCTGAGTGGGAGTTTGTACGGTCATTTATGCAGTTTACATAGAGAAAATGCTGTGGCATACTTCATGAGGTAATCTTATAGAACAAGCTGTTCAAGCATGGTAGTATTACAAAAGGGTGTGAAAACTTCTAGTATTGTTACAATATGCGTCAATATATCATAAGAAGTTTTGAGGTATGATATGTATAGAATTCTATGTTGATGCAAAAGTAATGAGCGTTCCTTATTCTTCTGCGGCGAAAAAGGCATGAAAGTGAGTAAAACAAATTATTCGATAGCAGAGCAAGCTCTACAAGATGGTGATCAAACAATTTTGAACAACAATTTCGGACAAAAGTCTTATTTTTTGGTGTTCAAAATCCTGCAGAATTCCCTACATTTTGCAGAATTTTCGAAAATCTCCTATATCAAACTTTTCATGATTGCTTAACATTTTGTAAAGCTTGTTTTGCTGTGTCAAACGATATGCCTCATACATTCTTATGATTTCTCTGCATCGGCAGGAGAGAGCTCTCATTACTTTTGCCTCGACTTAATATAAGATGTGATCAAAATACAAATGCAAGATAGTTGGTCTTTACAACGATATGGGCAATGTAGACATCATCACTAACTGGAAAAGGCGGTTGACTTGTTATAGGGTGATATATTTTCCAAGTAATCAAAGTGAACACATTAGGTACATTTATGCACGATTTTGTTGGGAAGGATTTTATTGTACCATATTCAGCGAGTAACTGGTTTCTCTTTTATATGAAACATCAGGGGAAGTGAATGAATTTCTTGCGCATAGAGTTCGGCTTCATATTTCATGTGAACCGTAACTGAGGCAGATGTTGATGATTATTCTGTAGGTTTGCACTATCGAACTCTACCCATTACCTTTTCTTAAAGTTGGAATTGCGACTGTAAACCAGTTTTCCCTCTAGACATATTTGTAATACATCGAAGTTAAGAAGATTGCCCGTCAAAGTCGTTACTTTTCCTCTGGCTGAACCGAAAAACAGATCTCCATCTTATTTTGTTCCGCAAAAACAAAATCTAAGCTTTGTTTTCTTTTAGCTCCAAAAAAAATTTTTTTTGATTTTGCTGTTTTTCGTATTCAAGCACGCTTGTAAAAACTCTGTTGTCGCTTTGTGCCGGTTTCATCAACTATCCTACTACTTTTAGTATTTCTACTGGCTCAAAAATAGAGCTAATATTATTAGGATCTGTAAATATAAGCTAATGCATCTGAGACACCATCCCATAGGAAAAACATGCTTTATAAGGTGCTCTATCCACAATATACTTTGGCCGTGATCTACGAAAGCTCGGAGCCAGGATCTATGAATCGCCGACTAAAATTGACCTTACTTTTAACAAATAAGAAAGCTTAATTCTCTCACTCGGCTATTATCCAGTAGGAATTGATAGTATTCATTCAAGTATTTGGATAATCTTTGTTTTCAAGGATGACAACAAATGTCAAAAAATCACACAAATTTCTTTTCGGTCCTATGCTAACATAGAATTTTCAAAACTAGAGCAAATACGAGATTATAAATTTATATTCATGTTTCCGAACTTATTGTATGCAGCATCTAGGTAGACGGTAACTACATAGCGATGATGAGCGCGTCCAATTTTTCGATTTCTTTTTTATACGATCTCAAGCAGGAGAAATTATAGCATCTATATATGTTACCATGTGTCTATTAGTGAGACCAAAAGGGAAAGTCGTAGATTTTTCGCAGACGAAGATCAGACATGCTAGTTGTGTTATAAAATCACAGATTTTAGCCTTAACTTTACGTGAATCAACGTTTCGGTTTTTTTTTCAAAGATTTTGAAGGTTGCTTAGAGCTTGAGCTTGCTTTGGTCTACGGTAATATTGACACATACGTAGTAGCTTTCTTAAAAAGCACTAAATTTCCAAAGAAAACCATGTAAAATCTGTCCGTGCAGTAACAATAGGACCTCAATATGAGCCAGCAAATAATGGGTTTGCTGAAGCAATCACTTTACTTCTCTTGGAAATTTGTGGAAACATTGTATGAAGATTTAATGCGTCTGACGCAGGCAACGGCTTCGTTTTCTTCTTTTTCACAAAGTAAAACCTCCAATTAATCATTGCCATTTGCAACATTTCACTGGACCAGAAGCCAAACGGTCTTATCCAGGCCTGTATTACATAGAATAGTTTTTTTTTCATTTTATAAGAGCGAATGCGTTATACACAAAAAGTGAAAAATATATAAAATTAGCTGCAAATCTTAGCCAGTTTAAATCAGGGCTCGGCACAGGTGGCTTGGTAAGCAAGCTGGATATCGTTTTTGGTACAAAAAACAAAGGGGGATTAGTTTTTGTGGCCGAAAGACACAAAATTTGCGATGTTTTTTAGTCGTTTCGTTTTTTGGAGAGTTTCAAAATAATAGGTAAGGAACAAAGGAAACTTCGAAAAATTTTGAGAAAGTCAAGGGGGACTTTGTTTTATGCATTTTCCAGAAGCTGCCTTATGCCGAGTAAATTTTATACACACTATAATCAATAAGCAAATTCTATTTCAACCTATAAATGTTAGACGCGTGTTTTTTTTTGAAATGCACAACGTTACTCTGTCTTAATCGGCTTGATAAAATGAATACTTTTCCCGTTGGAATTGAGATTTTCTAAAACGATAAGGGTCGTTTGGTTTTTTCTTTCAGAATTCCGCTTTCACTTTCCTTCCTCCATCTGCTTTGTTCATTAGCGCTTCAATGTTCTGACAATGTCTTGCTTGATGTCCTACTTCAACGCATAAAACCACATTGATGCTCTACAAGTATAAATCATACCACTTCTAGAAACTTCTAAAGAAAAGCCAAGTTTATAGATGCACAATTTATGTGAAGACTGTAAACGTTGCGATAGTCGAGAAGATTTGGAACCGGGAGACATCTCATGGTAATGAGAAGTTCTTTCCCGAAGTGAGAAATCCTAATACTCAAGAACTCTATCTTGACGAACGCGATTTAAGAGAATTGCGAACATTTCAAATAGATTACAAGTAACAAGCTTAGGTGAAACAACGCCAATTCAAACGTTCACCACTAAATTCGCCAGCTAAGTTGATTATACCGATATCAAAGGTTTTATAAGGTGTGGTGCCGTCGCTGACGAAGTCGTCTGGGATGCGAATGCCAAGTTTCCCGCAGAAGTGTCGCTGGAATTAAATAGCACAAAAGAGGAGGATGCATAAGAATATTCCTTACTCCGCAACTGTGATAGATGTACAATTTTGGATCGATACTAGTAACTTCTTTCTTTGAGCCATGAAGAAGAAATCCACCGGTTTCATTAGTTTTTCCTTCATCCATTAGGTCATCAATTGCTAAGACGAAAAATAGCCAACACTAACAAGAAGGAAAGTGAAGACTTACTTATTTCCTTATCATATAGTTTCACCTTGACGTCAGTATCTGGTACACCATTGCAAAACAAACGTCCAGTTACCGCTACCGATTGTATTGAGCCGAGATTCAGAAAGGCCAGCGAGTACCCAGCAAAGCTAAGGATCATCAAAGGTAACATCCTTAAAAAGCACCGTTAGCGGAATATGTTCCAATGGAGAAGGAGTTGAAGAGAATGAAAGGGATGCGTTGATTGCCACTTGGTTCACCTTCCAGCAGTGAGAAAGACCGACTGACGGCTGAGCAATGAGCGAGTCTTAAATGCTTTTTTGGACACTCCTAACCAGTTGTGATACACGGACATTACTTGTTTGCCTTTGAAATACTTCATCTTTTATCTACTCTACGTTTATACGATAAATCACATATAAATTAGCAGATTTGGAGGCTAACGTTAGCGTAAAGTATGTTTTCGGCAAACTTTGCTCGCACACGATGGCATGCGCTCCACCGTCAACTTTCATGCGCGAATCAGAAAGTAACCTTTACTCGTAATATACTCTGCATGGTATGTATTAGGACAGCCCGACAGTTCGAGCCGCAATTATGACCTTTAAAATCGTTCAAATAAAGATATACAAGAGCGCTAAACAATATTCGACGCAGATTGTTCTCCTCTTTCCAGTTGTGATGTTCTCGCTAAGAACTTTGATGTTTGCTCAAATAGTTATAACTTATTTATTTATTTATTTATTTATTTGTATGCATACAAGGTGCGTTAACCTAACAAGGAAGACAACAAATAGAAAACATTCGATCGATAGAAAATATATATCGACTGATCTATCACACTCAACTCCCTATGTCAAGTGCAATAGTTGCAAAAGCAACGAGAGAAACCGTAAATGAAGATAATAGTCAAAATCTCCAACACTTGATTTTACCTACCTTATTGCACCTATTCTTTAGATAATTGTTTTCCAACTTTTGAAAGAGCTATTTGCTGTTGGATACACATACGAAATGCAAGACAATGCACTTTTTGGCATTCATAGCTGGTTTAGCACAAAGTCATCTCCGTCAAGAAGAGTAAGTCATAAAACCTGAGTTCAAAGTGAAATTAGAGATTGCTAGGCCTTTCAGTATTTTTAACAATCTAAATTCATCAAAAAAAACTAAATTGAGGAGTTTGTATTCATCATTTTTATCACCGCCACATACTACATAATAACTATTCTTTTTTCAAGCATTAGCACAAACCGCATGATGTTTTCTTTCTATCTTGTATCATATCGAACAGATTCAATGAATTTGGAAGAACTCACAGACTTGCGAAAAAAATTGGTAAGACTTTCAGGGGAGGGGGGTTAGGGGTTAGTTTTGGGTTTCAGCATTAGATAAACTGCTCAGATAATCGCCGGGGGCAAGCGGCTATGCGATTTTTGGCAGAGCAAAGAAAAAATAGTTCGCTGATTTCTACGATCCGCTTGCAAAAATTTGAAAGAATGCTTGCTTGGAAAACAGTTGCGGCTTTTTTCATAGGTCAGTTGCGGTGCAGTGGCCGACTTTCCGCGAGAATATGCAAAATTATTGGTTCCCTCTGTGAAGAACCGCACAGCCCGTGAGTACCTTCCCCTGAGAGAAAGTACCTTCGGGTAATTAACCATCGGTGACACTTCTGTTATGTAGCGTGCTACCTTTGCTCGGCGTACGCCCGAAACTGCGTAGAGTCCGAGCGCCAGCTGAAAGCTTGGACAGCGCTCGCTGAAAGAGATTATTTGATGAGCGCTTGCAGAAAATTTTGTATCGCTGCCCGCTAGCAGAACACGGAAGTACCGCTCGCTGAAGATCTTGTCACGCCTTAAAATTCTGCTGACCGCTCGCAGAAAAGCGCGAGTTTGTGGATCGCCTGCCCTCGGCGATTATCTAAGTGGGGTTTGTACGGTGGTTTATGCAGTTTACATTTAGGAAGTGCTGTAGCATACTTTATGAGGTAATCTTATACAACAACTGTACAAGCATAGCGGTATTACAAAAGAGTATGAAAACTTAGTATTGTTATAATATGCGTCAATACATCATAAGATGTTTTGAGGTATAAATGTATAGAATTCCAGGTTGATGCAAAAGTTATGAGCGTTCCCTGTTCTTCCGCGGCGGAAAAAGCATAAAAGTGAATAAAACAAATCATTCGATGGAGCAAAGCGGGCTCTACAAGATGATTTTCAAACAATTTTGAACAATAATTTACAATAATCTAAAGTCTTATTTTTACGTTTCAAAATTTTGCAGAGTTCCCTGCATATTGCAGAATTTTCCAAAATTCTCTTGTGTCAAACTTTTTAGGATTGCTTGACATAATTTTGTAAAGAATAAAAAATAAAGGATTACTGTTAAGCCTGTTTTTGTAAAGCTTGCTTTGCTGTGTCAAACGATATGTCTTTCATACATTCTTATAATTTCTCTGCAGCGGCAGAAAGGAACACTCATTTTTTTGCATCGACTCAATATAAAATGTGATCAAAATACAAATGTAAGATAGTTGGCCTTTACAACGATATGGACAATGTAGACATCATCATCGCTAATTGGAAAAGGCGGTTGACTTCTTGTTATAGGGTGATATGTTTTCCAAGTAATCAAAGTGAACACATTGGGTACATTTATTTTGCACGTTTTTCTTAGGAAGGATTTTGTTGTACCATATTCAGCGAGTAACTGGTTCCTCTTTTATATGAAACATCAGGGAAAGTGAATGAATTTCTTGCGCATAGACTTCGGCTTCATATTTCATGTGAACCGTAGGAAGAGGGCAGATGTTTAGATTATGTTGTAGGTTTGCGCTATCGAACGCTACCCATTACCTTTTCTTAGAGTTGGAATTGTTGCTGTAAACTAGTTTTTCCTTTAGACTAATATTTGTTATACATCGGGTTTGAGAAAGCTGCCCGTGATCTCAAAGTGAGCACAATGTGAAAATCGTTACTTTACGCTCTAGCTACGGGAACAAAAAAAAGATCTTCATTTTATTTTGTAGCTAATTCATATATCAGATCCCATATTCTGACGCTGAATGAGTTGTGCAAGAACAAAATCCAAGCTTTGTTTTCTTTTAGCTCCAAAAAAATTTTTGATTTTGCTGCTCTTCATATTCAAGCAATGCTTGTAAAGACACTGTTGTCGCTTTGACTGTTCCATCAATTATCCTGCTACTTTTAGTTATAATAGCGGCGCAAAAATAATGTACGCAGCTAACGTTACCAAGGTATGTAAATATAAGCTAATGCACGTGAGACACAATTCCATAGGAAAAGCATGCTCTATAAGGTGCTCTATCCAAAATATACTTTGGCCGTGATCTACGAAAGCTCGGAACCAGGACCTATATCGTCGACTAAAATTGACTTTACTTTCAACAAATAAAAAATCTTAATTCTCTTACTCAGCCATTATCCAGTGGGGCATTGATAGTATTCATTCAAGCATTTGCTGGATAATCTTTGTATTTTTGAATGACAACAAATATTGAAAAATCACACAAAATACTTTTCGGTTCTATGCTAACATAGATCTCTCAAAACTAAAGCACATACAAGATTAAATTTTTGTTTTCATGTTTTCGAATTTATTATATGCAGCATCTAGGTAGAAGGTAACTAGCGTTGATGAGCGCGTCCAATTTTTCGGTTTCTTTTTTTATACGATCTCAAGCGTAAGATATCATGGCATCTATATATGTTACCATGTGTCTACTACGCGAGACCAAAAGAAAAAGTAGGTTTTTCGCAGACGAAGATCAGATATGCTAGTTGTTTCAAAAAAATTACAGGTTTTAGCCTTAACTTTACTTCAAAGTTTCGGTAATTTTCAGCAATGACTTTGAAGATCTTGCTTTGCTCTTTATAGTGCTTATAGATACGTAGTAGCATTCTAAAAAAGCACTAAATTTCCAAAAAAAACATGTAAAATCTGCCCGTTCAGCAACAATGGGACCTCAATATGAGCCAGCAAGTTATTTCATAGTTGAAAAATCTTTGCAGCAAAAATCTGTGTATAGTTTGTTTTCTGCATATAGACAGCAGCTTTGCTGCAAACGTTGAGAGCATGAGTATGCTGAAACAATACTTCTCCTAGAAAAGGATCTCAAAAGAGGAATTGTGGAAACATTGTGTGAAGATTAATGCTTCTGACGCAAGTAGCGGTTTCTTTTTCTTTTCCACAAAGTGAAACCTTCAAATTTATTAATGTAATAGGCCAAATTTTTACTTGTAATCAGAAGCCAAACAGTCTTGTTTTGGCCTGTACTACATAGAACAGTTGTCTATAGCAAAAAGGGAATTCGTTATATACAAAAATAAAATATTAGAAACTTGACTGCAAAATTTAATTCGTTTAGATGCTTGGTTGAAACTTATACATACCATAATCGATGTACAAATGCTATTACCTCAACGTAGAAGAGTAGAAAACGTATTTTTCTCATATTATCGTTATTCATGCTCTCACTCGGCTCATCAAGAAGAATAAACATCGCACTGAAATTAAGAGCCTTTGTAACCACCAAAGCGTTTAGTTCTGCCTTTCAAGATTGCACTTTCACCAACACGTCCGTTTGCTTTGTTCGTTAGTGCATCATTCTTCAGACAATGTTTTGTTTGATGTCTTACTTTAACGCATAAAGTCACATGGGTGTTGCACAAAGTCATGAGTTCTACCAATTCCAGGAACTTTTGAAAAAAAGGCCAAGTTTTTAGATGTACAGTTCTTGCATGAAGATAATGAAGGTTGTTGGAGACGAAAAATTCTGAAACCTCAAGACTTTTCTGTGGTAAAAAAAGTTCGTTTCCGAGATCCTTTCAAATACTCAAAAATTTATTTTCGACGAATGCGATTTGAGAGAACTGCGGACATTACAGATAAGTTGCTAGAACAAGCTAGGTAAGTAACAACTCAAGGGGCCTGATTTTTCACCACTGATTTTGCCAGCTAAGTTGATTGTACCGATATCATAGGGTTTGTGGGGTATGGTGCCTTCGGAAATGTAGTCACTTGGAATGTGAATGCTAAATTTCCTGCACGAGAGAGACTGAAATTGTGAAATTAAGAGCACAAATAAGGAGGATGCGCAAGAGTATTCTTTACCCATCCATAGTTGCATGTGTGATAGATGTACAGTTTTGGGTCGATACTGGTGGCTTCTGTTGTTGAGCCTTGAAGTAAAAATCCGCCGGTTTGATTGGTTCTTTTTTCATCCAATTTTTCGTCCCACACTAAGACGAAGAGTGTTAAACACTAACTAGAAGGAAAGCTCGAAAACTTACCTGGCTCAATGTTATATAGCTTCAACTTGCATCAGTAGCTGGTTTTTCATTGCAAACCAAACGTCCAGTAACCGCTACGGATTGTATTGTACCAAAACCCAGAAAAGCCAGCGAGTACCCAGCAAAGCTAAGGATTATCAGAAGTAGCATCCTCAAAAAGCACTGTTAGCGGCATTATGTTCTAAAGGAAAAGGAATTCAAGCAAATGAAAATGATACGGTTGTAGTTTACCTTTCAGCAGTGGTAGAGACTGACGGCTGAGCAATGAGCGAGTCTTAAACGCTTTTTTGGACACTTCTAACCAGTTGTGATACACCAGGCATTATTCATTACTTTAATTTGGGAAGTCATCTTTTTTCTAATCTAATTTTGTACGATAAATCACAATAACTTAACAGATTTGAAGGTTAAGGTTAGCATAGTATAATGCAATGTTTATGGCAAAGTTTGCTTGTACACGATGACATGCGCGCTCCACTGTCAATTTTTACGCGCAAATTATAAAGTAACCTCCAGTAAATCACTTTGCATGCTATGTATCAGGTCGGTCCGAAAGTTCGAGCCGTTTGTAAGACTTATCCTAAATCGTTCAAAATAATCATATACAAGGGCGTAAACAACACTCGATGCCAAATTTCCTCCTCTTTCCAGACGTGATGTTCCCGCCAAAAACTCTAATGGTCGCTCAAATAAACACAAACCATTTACCTACCCTTATTGCAACTATTTTTTGAAAATTTGTTTTCCAACTTTTGCAAGAGCTTTGATTACTGTTGCATAGATATACAAAATGCAAGACAATGCATTTTTGGCATGCAAAGGTGTTTTTGGGCATCCCAAACCTCATAGAGCAACAAGCAGCGACCAGCTATGATGTCATTCGATGCAGATTGCTCTCCTCTTGACAAAACTTTTTCTTCATAATTCAGAGGGTTTCGAGGTTAAAATCATCGTAATCCTAATTTCTGAGAGCAGCTTAAGCTGTGCACGAATTGTTCAAAATAAAGACTTCGCATTTAATGTTCCAAAGTGGTAAACACCCATTTGTTTACTAATTGTTCAATCACAATTCTTGAAGGTTTCAAATTTCGAGAGTTCATTGTTACTTGATGCGTATATGCAATCTACGACTTCGCAAAAAAAAAGAATCTGGAAAAGCTTTCTTGAAAATCTTGCAAGTCAGTCGAAAAGCCAGAAAGTTCATGTCTTGCATTTTATCTACTCTATCCGACAATGGGAAAACTTTAGAATTAGCTAAAATAAGGATAGGTTAAAGTTTTGAGCTGGAAATGCTGACGACTATTCTGCAACCATCGAACGTTTCGGAACAGATATCAGAGCTAGAAAGGAGAAGATCTGCATTGAATGCCATTTGAGCATGGGCTTATCATTACTCTGAATGATTCGAGCGGTGCGATGCATTCTTGCACCGAATCAAAGGGAAATACTCTCAAAAATCAGGGCTTGGCATGAGAGGGCTTTCCGAAAAGCAAAAAAAAGACGTCCCCATTGACTTTCCCAAAATTTCACGAAATTCCCTTGACCCTGAACCATACCCTCTGTGTGTTTCGGCTACAAAAACGATATCCCCTTGCTTTTTGCCCCAAAAACGATATACAGCTTGCTAAGCCACCTCTGCTGAACTCTGTCAAAAGTGCTTAGGCAATCAGCTTAGTTTGTAAGTTTTTTCTCTCGTTTCTCCCAGTAATGTATTATCCCGGTATAGAAATTTCTATCTAACAAAACTAAAGAAAAAGAGTGAAAATTACTTCGTAGAAAGGCCGATTAGCACAAAGTCATCTCCGTTCAAAAGAGTAGAACATGAAACCTGTACTAACTAAACGATTCTTGGTGTCCGTGGTGTTTTGAGATGAAGTGTATACCGTCACACTCGCCTTGGGACGCTGATTTTGAATCTGACTTTTATTTCTGCGAATCGTTCTCTAAAAGAAGTTATGAATGATTTTTGCGTCAATGGTCGCCCAAGAGAAATACGGACGAGGATGCCTAACCTTCAAAAAGAAGCTTGACTGAGGAATCAAAACTGAAAACACAAGAGGACTCGAACCTAAATCTGCGTTAACTTGCGAGGCTATAGCACTAGCCACTACACCACCTTTTAGCGGCGATTTTAGCATTCCGACCACATCTCCCTTGCTGTGAAAGTTCTTCATAACTTTTCTTTTTCAGAGAAAAAAAATTAGCAAAAACGGATGTCATATTCGAAATCAGCGCTCCAAGATGAGTGTAATGGTGTATATCTCATCTTCAAGGGCCACGGTCACCAAGTATCGTTTTTTTTTTTGTAAGAGTGGAACTAGAGATTGTTGGACCATTCAGGATTTTTAACAATCGAAAATTATGAAATTTAAACTGAGGATTTTGTGTTTATCAACTTTTGTCGCCGCTACATATCAGCAACTATTCTTTTTTCATGCACTAGCACAATCGCGTGATGTTTTCTTTCTATTTTATATTAAATCGAACAAATTTAATAAATTTGCAAGGACTTATAGATTTGCCAAAAAAATGGTAAGACTTTCAGGGGGGAGGGGGTTCAGGGGTTAGTTTTGAGTTTCAGCATTAGTTAAACTGCCCAGATAATCGCCGGGGGCAAGCGGCCATCCTGTTTTTGGGCAAGCGAGCAAAGGAAAAATAGTTCGCTGATTTCTACGATCCGCTTGCAGAAATTTGAAAGAATGTTGGCAAAAGTTTGGAATGCTTGAAAAACAATTGCGGCTTTTTCATAGATTGGTTGCGGCGCAATGGCTGCATTCTCGCCGACTTTCCGCGAGAATATGCAAAATTATTGGTTCCCTTTGTGAAGAACCGCACAGCCCGTGAGTACCTTCCGCTGGGAGAAAGTACCTTCAGGTAATAAACCATCGGTGACACTTCTGTTATGTAGCGTGCTACCTTTGCTCGGTGTACGCCCGAAACTGCGTAGAGTCCGAGCGCCTGCTGAAAGTTTGGACAGCGCTCGCTGAAAGAGATTATTTGATGAGCGCTTGCAGAAAATTTTGCATCGCTGCCCGCTGGCAGAATACGGAAGTACCGCTCGCTGAAGATCTGGTCATGCCTTAAAATTCTGCCGATCGTTCGCAGAAAAGAGCGAGTTTGCGGAACGCCTGCCCTCGGCGATTATCTGAGTGGGAGTTTGTACGGTCGCTTATGCAGTTTACATTTAGGAAGTGCTGTGCATACTTCATGGGGTAATCATATACTACAAACTGTACAAGCATAGCAGTATTACAAAATAGTATGAAAACTTAGTATTGTTACAATATGCGTCAATAGATCATAAGATGTTTTGAGGTATGATATGTAAGGAATTTTAGGTTGATACAAAAGTACTGAGCGTTTCCTGTTCTTCCGCGGCGCAAAAAGCATGAAAGTGAATAAAACAAATCATTCGATGGAGCAAAGCGGGCTCTACAAGATGATGTTCAAACAATGGACAGTAATTTACAATAATCAATAAAGTCTTTTTTTGCGTGTTCAAAATATTGCAGAGTTCCCTGCATTTTGCAGAATTTTCCAAAATTCTCTTGTGTCAAACTTTTTAGGATTGCTTGACATAATTTTGTAAAGCTTGTTTTGCTGTGTCAAACGATATGTCTCATACATTCTTATAATTTCTCTGCAGCGGCAGAAAGGAACACTCATTTTTTTGCATCGACTCAATATAAAATGTGATCAAAATACAAATGTAAGACAGTTGGCCTTTGCAACGATATAGACAATGAAGATATCATCATCGCTAATCGGAAAAGGCGGTTGACTTGTTATAAAGTGATAAATTTTCCAAGTAATCAAAGTGAACACATTGGGTACATTTATTTTGCAATTTTGTTAGGAAGGATTTTGATGTACCAGATTCCGCGAATGATTGCTTCCTTTTTTATATGAAACATCAGGGGAAGTAAATGAATTTCCTGCGAATGGACTTTGGTTTCATATTTCATGTGAACCGTGACTGAGGCAGATGTTATGATTATTCTGTAGGTTTGCACTATCACACACTACCCCATTACCTTTTCTTAAAGTTGTTGCTGTAAACCAGTTTTTTTTCTCTAGACTAATATTTGTAATATATCGAGGTTAAGAAAAATGCCCGTAAAAATCGTTACTTTTCGCTTTGACCACAGGAACAGAAAAACAGATCTTCATCTTATTTTGTTCTGCAAAAATTAAATAAGGTGAAGATCTGAGATCCAAGCTTGTTTTCTTTTACCTTTAAAAAAATTTTTCTTTGATTTTGCTACTCTTCATATTCAAGCACTGCTTGCAAAAGCACTGTTGTCGCTTTGTGCCTGTTCATCAATTATCCTATTGCTTTTAGTATTTCTAATAGTGCGCAAAATTATACGCAGCTAACGTTACCAAGGTATGTAAATACAGGGTAATGCAGGTGGGACACCATTCCTTAGGAACATCATGCTCTATAAGGTGCTCTATTCAAAAGATGCTTTGGCCGTGATCTACGAAAGCTCGGAGCCAGGATCTATGAATCGTCGGTTAAAATTGAATTTTACTCTTGACCAATAAGGAAGCTTAATTCTTTCACTCAGCCATTATCCAGTAGGCGGATAGTATTCATTAGCATTTGCTGGATAATATTTGTTTTCAAGGATGACAACAAATATTGAAAAGTCACACAAATTTTCTTCCCGGTTCTATGCTAACATAGATCTCTCAAAACTAAAGCACATACAGGATTATAATTTTATACTCATGCTTGCGAATTTGTTGTATGCAGCATTTATGTAGAAGGTAATTAGCATTGATGAGCGCGTCTAATTTTTCGGTTACTTTTTTTACGATTTCAAGCGGGAGAAATTATAGCATCTATATATGACACCATGTGTCTACTACGTGAGACCAAACGTAGATTTTTCGCAGACGAAGATCAGACATGCTAGTTGTTTTATAAAATCACAGATATTAGCCTTAACTTTGAATTAAAGTTTCGGTAAATTTCAGCTGATGATCTTGAAGAGCTTGCTTTGCTCTATATAGTACTGATACCGTAGTAGCATTTTAAAAAGCACTCAATTTTCAAAAAAAATCATATAAAATCTGCCCGTGCAGTAACAATGGGATCTCAATATGAGCCAGCAAGTAATAATCTTGTTGAAAAATCTCTGCAGCAAAAATCAGTGTATAGTTTGTTTCCTGTATATGGACAGCAGCTTTCTTGCAAACATTGAGAGAATAAAAAGAAAAGTAACGTAACGCTAAGCAATTACGTTACTTTTCCTAGAAATTAGGATCTCAAAACAAAAGTTGTGTAAACATCGTATGAAGAGATTAATGCGTCTATCGCAAGCAGCGGTTTCGTTTTTGTTCTTTTCCACAAAGTGAAAGCTTCCAAATTCATCATTGTGATATGAAACATTTTTTACTGTGTAATCAGAAGCCAAACAGTCTTGTTCACGCCTGTATTACATAGAACAGTTCTCTATAGCAAAAATGAGATATTTTAGCTGCAAAATTCAGTTTGTTGAGATATTGATTAAAACTTATACATATCATAATCAATGTACAAATTCTATCACCTCAACGTAGAAGAGTAAAAAGCGTGTTTTCCCTAAATTATAGTTGTTCATCACCTCACTCTGCTCATTAAGTGGAATAACCTTCGCGTTGGAATTAAGAGCTTTTGCAACCATCAAAACCGTTTAGTTTGTCTTTCAAGTTTTCACTTTCACCAGCATGCTCATTTGCTTTGTTCGTTAGTGCATCATTTTTCAGACAATGTTTTGTTTGATGTCTTACTTTAACGCATAAAATCATATGGGTGTTGCACAAAATTATAAGTCCTACCAATTCCAGGAACTCTTGAGAAAAAGGCCAAGTTTCTAGATGCACAATTCTTACTCGAAGATAATGAAGGTTGTTGGAGACGAAAAATTCTTAAAACTCAAGACTTTTTTGTGGTAAAAAGTTCGTTACCGAGGTCCTTTCAAATACACAAAAACTTTATTTTTAAAGAATGTGATTTTAGAGAATTGCGGACATTTTCGTTGAGTTGCAAATACAAGCTTAAAGATAACAAGCAATAACGCCTATGCTTTCACCCTTAAGTTTGTAAGCTAAGTTGATAGTGCCGACATCAAAGGTTTTGTTGGGTGTGTTGCCTTCGGTTACGAAGTCCTTTGGGATGTCAATGCTAGCTATCCTGCACAAGAGTGGCTGAAATTGTGAAAAACAGTAGCACAAATAAGGAGGATGCATAAGACCACTCATAGTTCTTTACCGTATTGTAGTTGCATGTGTGATAGATGTACAGTGCTGGATCGATACTAGTGGATTCCTCCGCTGAGCCATGGAGAGAAAATCTACCATCTTGATCAGTTTTTCCTTGATCCAATTTTTTGTCAAAAACTAAGACGAAAAGTATTCAACACTAACTAGAAGGAAATCCAACACTGATTAGAAGGAAAGTTCGAAAACTTACATATCTCTTTTTCATATAGTTTCACCTTGATATCAGTAGCTGGTTTCCCATAGCAAACCAAACGTCCAGTAACCGCTACGGACTGTATTGTATCGAAAAGGGCTAACGAATAACCAGCAAAGCTAAGGATCATCAAAAGTAACATTCTTGAAAGCACCGGAATATGTTTCAGTGGAGGAGTTGAAGCGAATAAAAAGGATGCGGTTGATTGCCGCTTGGTTCACCTTCCAGCAGTAACAAAGACTAACGGCTGTGCAATGAGCGAGTCTTAAATGCTTTTTTAGACACTCCTAACCAGTTGTGATACACCAGGCATTATTCATTACTTTAATTTGGGAAGTCATCTCTTTTCTAATCTAATTTTGTACGATAAATCACAATAGAAGGTTAAGGTTAACATAATATAATGCAATGTTTTCGGCAAAGTTTGCTTGTACACGATGACATGCGCGCTCCACTGTCAATTTTTGCGCGCAAATTATAAAGTAACCTCCAGTAAATCACTTTGCATGCTATGTATCAGGTCGGTCCGAAAGTTCGAGCCGTTTGTAAAACTTATCCTAAATCTTTCAAAATAATCATATACAAGGGCGTAAACAATATTCGATGCCAAATCTCCTCCTCTTTCCAGACGTGATGTTTCCGCCAAAAACTTTAATGGTCGCTCAAATAATAGTCGAAATCTTCAACAGAAACCATTTACCTACCCTTATTGCAGTTTTTTTTTAAATTTTGTTTTCCAACTTTTGCAGGAGCTTTGATTACTTTTGGATAGATATACAAAATGCAAGACAATGCATTTTTGGCATAGCTGGCTCTGGGCATCCCAATCTCGTAGAGCAACAAGCAGCGACCAGCTATGATATCATTCGATACAGATTGCTCTCCTCTCAATAAAAGTTTTTTCTCCGTAATTCGCAAGGGTTTCGAAGTTGAAATCATCGTAATCCTAAATTCTGAGCGCTACTTAAGCTGTGCACGAACTCTTCAAAATAAAAACTTTGCATTCAATGTTCCAAAGCGGCGAACCCATTTGTTTACTTAAATAGAATCACAATCGATTCTTAAAGGTTTCAAATTTCAAGAGTTTGTTGGTGCTTGAAGAGTATTTGTAATCTACGACTTCGCAAAAAAAGGTTTGGAAAAGCTTTCTTAAAAATCTTGCAAGCTAGTCGAAAAAATCCAGAAAGTTCATTGTCTTGCATTTTATCTACTCTATCCGACAGTGAGCAAAGCTCTTCCAATCAAAACTGAAAATTCTAGAATTAACTAGAATAAGGGTAGGTAAAAATCATGGGCTGGAGATGCTAACGACTATTCTAGCAACCATCCAACTTTTCGGAACAGGAACCAGCGCTAGAAAGGAGAAGAATTTCTGCATCGAATGCCATTTGGAGAATGTTCTCCTCATTACTCTAAACGTTTCAGACGATACGATGCATTCTTGCACCAAATCAAGAAAAAATTCCCTCAAAAATGCTTAGGCAATCAATTCAATTTGTAAATTTTTTCCCTTGTAAACAATAGTAGTGTATTATCCTGGTATAGAAAATTTTATCCAACAAAATCGAAATTCGAAAGAAGGTGTGTGAAAATTACAACATAGAAAGACCGACTAGCACAAAGTCATCTCCGTTTAAATGAGTAGAACATGAAACCTAGGGAAAACATAACTAGAAAAATAAAAAATAAAAAATAAAAAAAATAAATATAATAAAATAAAAATAAATTACAAAAAAATAAAAATAAAAATAAAACATAACAAAAACAAAACTAGGAAACGATTTTTGGTGTCCGTGGACTTTTGAGATGAAACGTATACCATCACATTCGTCTTGGGAAGCTGATTACGAATCTGACTTTTATTCTGTTAATCGTTACTCTAAAAGAAGTCATGAAGGTGAAGGATTTTCGCTTTAATGGTCGTCCGAGGGAGATAAGGTTGCGGATGCCTAACTTTCAAAAAAAACTTGAGTGAGTAATGCAAAACTGAAAACACAAGAGGACTCGAACCTAAATCTGCGTAAACTTGCGAGGCTATCGCACTGTCAGTACACCACATTTTAGCGACAATTTTGGCATTCCGGCCACACCTCCTTGATGCGAAAATCCTTCACAACTTTTTTAGAGGAACGATTAGCAAAAAGAAAGTCAGATTCGGAATCAGCGTTCCAAGATGAGTGTAATGGTATACATCTCATCTAAACACAAAGTATCTTTTTCTCGTAAGAGTGGAACTAAAGATTGTTGGACCATTCAGGATTTTTAACAATCGAGTTATAAAAATTGAACTGAGGAGTTTGTATTTATGACCTTTTATCGCCGTTACATATCAACAACAAATCTTGTTTCAAGGCTAGCATAAACCGCATAATTTCCTTTTTCTACCTTTTGTTATATCAATCAGATTCAATGAATTTGGTAGAGCTTACAGATTTGCTTTTAAAAATTTAGCGCAAGATGCACAACATTTTCGCGCAGCTGTTTTCGTTGCAGTAAGGTTACTATATTGAGAAACCTTGAAACACGAAGAGCAAAGTCTTCTGAATAATTTAAGACTTTTTGGTCTGACATGTGCGATTTAAATTTTCGCCTACTTGAATGAAAAAATATGCGTATTGTGAAAGGCGTCATGTTGCTGTAAGCTACACAATCGCGGACTGACGCAAAGTATGTGCTGCGGTACATAACAGGCCGAAACAGTTGCCCGCGAGGCGAACTGACGGTTCACCCGGGTAGAGAACTCCAGCTTCTCGACTTGCGGTAATGATTACCATTGATACATAGTGCCAGAAGGCATTAGTGATGAATAATTGTTAATTTAGTGGGGGGAAAGATGTTGATATTGAAGAGTTTTTTATGCGAGACAATCCTCATTAAGCTAAATACTGCCGATAAACAGAGTATATAGGTAGCTGTTACAGTATCATGGTTCTCAAGTTTCCAGCCAGCCTCAATAACGAGCAAAGGAGCATATTACAGATTTACCGATGTACCTCTGCTATTGTACAGAAATCAGTTTGGATAAGCCTATAAATGATCCGTTCGAGTTTGCCTATTCAGTGGAGAGATATGCAAGTTTGTGCGATTAGTAGCACACAAAGACTGTAGGCGTATCGGCGTCTCTCTAATGGAACGCTCTTTCGTTTCTCTTACCATCTGCGGTCTCTCCCATGCACGAACTATTTCGGTCAGACGCAACGGCTCTCAGTCTTCGCGTGTCATGAATCGCCTAGACACTTTACAACTTGCAAATAAAATTACACGTGCAAAGTTCAGTTCATACAGACGATACTTTTGCTGGGTAATTTTATTGGCTAGATTGACTATGCCTATGTCAAAGGTTTTTGAGGTGTGAAAACCTTCGGTACCGAAGTTGGTCGGAATGGTAATACAATTTTCTGTAGCATATCTGTGATTGCAGAAGACCTCTAGTTATGAAAATTGTGAAATGGGTAAAATTTTCTTACACCATTATGGTCGCAATTGTGATAGACGTTTACTCGTAGATCATTAGTGCTTACTTCTGTCTTTGAACCAGAAAAATGGAATTCACCGCTTTTGTTAGTTCTTCATTCATCCATTTTCACATCAGGTACTCAAAAGAAGAATAGGGTGTAAGCTTGCGGCTTTTAAAAAACTCACTCAGTTCCTTTCACACTCTTACTGTGACATCAGCAGCAAGCTTTATTACATATCAGACGTCCAGCGTGGGCAACAGATTGTGTTGAGCCAACTTTCGAAAATGACGAAAAAAAAACAAGATCAAAGGTTGTTAGAAGTTGACATCTGCAGCAATCATCAATAGCGATTTTATGCTTTGCAACAAAGGAAATTAAACAAGGCAGAAAGAAGAGAAACGCGGTTAATTGCCGCATATTATTCATTCGGCAGAATAGAAATATCTACTGCTGAGCAATGTACAAGTCATCAATGGTTTTTCAAACGAAGAAACAAGACGGGCATCATTTATTGTACAAGTAAAAATGTGTAAAAGGATTTCCAGTACTTCAAAAAGTGCTGGTCGGTGCATCACAAATGGCGTTTGAGAAACAAGAAATGAAAAACGCCATTTATCAACATTAGCGCTGGCCATTCCGCATCAACTGCCCAATGAACTCCGCAGGTCTCTTGTTTATACCCTTATCTATACTCATTTGTAATGTTTCTTTGTATGTTTATATGTTTCAATAAAAAATTCTTCGAAGAGAGTTGACCAAACTTTGCACACATACACTTCGGGAGGCGAGAGTCGCAAACTTTGTTATCGATCGACATTGATTATTTCGATTTTTCAAGCTTTTGGCTGAGGAACTGTGGGTACAGGGAGGTTAGTGAGGATGCCAGCATAAGTATTCAGTTACCAATTATCTTTATTCATTTTATGGGCAACTAATTACGAAAAGAACCGTTATTTTCTTTAATTATTTCGTTGTTTCGCTTCTTTCTAATATTTGTCCTGAATAGCTGAGAGTTGGTACAAGGAAAGGGTTGAGTGAGCATACTAGTTACAAAGACATAGTTAAAGGCACCGTCCACCAGGTTTTCGACTTTCATGTTTTGATCGTTTCGGGGTCTTCTCATGTTCCTGATTCAGAATATGAAGTCCCACGGAAACCCCAACATTTTTCGTTTCGGAAACCCGCAGGCCGGCTTTCCGGGACGGTGATTGGCTGCGCGCGCACGGATGAGCGGGCATGGATGAAAGGGCGGTGCCGTCGGGGCATCTCCGTTATTCCGGAGCGATATCGCTTCCAAAGCGACATTTTGCGCCACGACTTGGGCATTGGGTTAACAGGGGCCCCATTACTGCATGCTGCCAAAAACTTAAACCCCTCAACTTGAGGTGGACGGTGCCTCTAAAGCAGAGAATTGGCAATAGACGCGGGTTAGAGACAGGAAAATGTTATAGAGGCCAAAATGACTGACAAGGAAAATGTTGCTAGTTAAAGTGTGTTTTCCAAACAAAGCCTACATAATTATAAAGAGCTTGTTCCAAATCTGTTTTTAGTACCTGCCCGCGCCTAAGGCGTCGAGTCATGCGCGTACCAAGAAAACAAACGCGCGACTGACACAAACCCATCCATAAGTGCTCAAGTAGTCCAGTGTTGTCACTGAACCGAAATATCGGATGATTTTATTTTTTAGATCAACGCTACTGTGTTCTCCATGTGCTGGACTGTATTCATTAATCTTATTTGAAATCTACTTCTCTCCTCATCCTTTCCCGCAAACGGTCGGCTAGCTCCTAGCTCTGACTTATACCATCCACCAGGGATGGGATCTAGAAGACAAGGTGGAAGAAACCGTGGCGATACCAAGAACGAGTTGTCGATCCTCAATCTCTTCTCTTGTCGAGAATTTCACCTTCCAAATGCTTGGACAGCAACAAGCAGTCCCGCAAGCCCTCTCAAGGAAACATTTGCAATGTTATTGTTTTATTAACAATTGTGGGAAAAGGGGTCTCTTTTGCAAAAGTTTGATGTCTTGAGGTGGACCCCTCAATAGGAACGCTCGACAACTTTGCACTGTCAAAGTGAGATTTGACCCGATGCGCGAAATAACTCCTACATCATTTCTTCTTTTGCCATGTAGCTGATAATTCATCTCTACATAGCTGAGATAAATATGGTGTATTTGATTAGATGACCAATCTTTCTAACGCTATAGATCGTGCGAGATGAATAGGGTCTCGAACGGGGCCCAAGTTGAACAGGTCGGCTTGGACGCATGTGGTCGTGCGACTGCTAGAGGGAGTTCTGGGCGTACGCCAGAGCCGTAAATTCTCAAAAGGTGTTTGAAACTGGCAATTTTGAAAGTAGTTATTGTTGGTGCTCGGTGAAGAACCACTAGATTGCGTATTAAGTCCTGCGCAATGTATATATGCATTTGATTGTATGTTTGCTCTGTCAAAACCTTCAGTAGAATTTTGAAAGAATGCTGTAGCTTTTGCAGAGGTTCAAAAGCGCTAAAAAGTTGCAAGAAATTTTTATTCAAACTTAAAAAGGTCTCTTTCTAACATCTTTGTAATGTTGACAGTGGGCATCTGGGCCGGTAGTAATCTACCCTAATTGGCGGCATCAAAGATGCCGCCAAGTTGGCACACATCACGGAAAGTTGCCATCTTCGGAGGCATCTCGCGGAGTGATTGTAGGTTTCAATAGTCTTATATAACCTTAGTACGCAATCATTTCGCACATTAAGTTTTGATGACGCAGACAGCCGCAAAACTTCTCCCTCGCGCGCAATCGAACCTACGTGCCTTAACTTCAAGTGCCACCGCGTTAACCATTCAACCATTCAATCAGTCATCTCGGATTGCAACAGCAGTGGGAGGAACGCACCGGTAAGTGGCCGCCTGTAAGAGGGATCGATACATTGCGTGAGAGACTTTGACCTGAAAGAACAGCTGATTGATATGAGCGAGAGAGGGGCGAAATCGGTGCAAACGAGATTTAAAAAGGATTTCCAAGAAAGATGGTGTTCTTTATGGTTCTCAGGCATTAATAGATTTTTTCTTTGTAAGAAAATCGTCGCTCCAAAAAAGAAAAACCCATATAATGAGAAAAATGATAGTTTCTTGATGGAAAGTAGAATTTTGTGATTTTTTCGCCCGACGTAAATTGTGTGATATGCCGCACTACCCAAACTTGCAGACGGCGTCAGCAAGGTGCCACCACCTCGACATGGTAGGGACACGTCAGGATGGTGGCGCCTTGATCTCTCAGGAGAGCACGCTATTTTTCGTATTCTCTGACCTGGCGGCATCTCTCAGCGCTGAAATTTCGACGAGATGCCGCCAGGTAAGCTCGCGAAGTTGCCGCCAGCACTTCCTGCCTTCCTCTGTAACTCTGTTTAGGGGGGTTTTCAGCACCTTAAGTTGCCAAGTAAGGTTCCCTAAGGTCACTATGACCTCCTCGACCAGAAATACGTGTTGAAAAGAGTTGGGAGGGCGCAAATTCGAGCTCGATGTTCACGCCGACTTCACGTAAAATTGACACCGACTTGACGGCGAAAATGCCGCCAGGTCGGGGGATTACTACCGGCCCTGAAGGCAGTCCTGAGAAAGGATGGTAGACGAGTAAATTATCTACTATAAACATATTGAATAGGAGTGAAAAACTGTACAAGTGCAAGAGGGACGGCTTTACAATTTTTCATTTTTCAAAATGTTTAGTATCAGAAATATGCTTAGCACTGCTAGGCTCGTTACCTTGGAATGTTTTCATTGACGTCAACGAAAAAAAGCACTTCAAAGAAAGGATGATTGCCGGCGGAAATTATCGAGGGATCGTACAAAAAGCAAGAAATGCGTTACGTACAGTTCGCTCTCTTGTTTATGTTTATAAAGTAAAAGTTAACAGGAAGTAAAAAAAGCCTTTTTCTTTCTTTCTCTTTCGCCTGTCCTAAACGCTGGAGCATGCTTCAGGATTAAATTTTACTTTTGACTGCATTTCCCACTCCATTGGGGATGTTGTCATATGGCCCATAGTATTTGCTATATGTTGCTTAGTGAGGAGAATTACAAAGCTGTACTAATAATGGGCCAATTTGCAAATCACCTACTTTAGTAAAAATTAAAACAAAATTTAGCATCATTAAATTTTACTTTAAATTTCACTACAGTAGGTAATTTGCGAATTTCTCTGAGAGTCACCTCGTAAAACTTGCTTTACTCTAACGAATATTGCTACTATTGCATTCTTTTGGTATTTACCGTAAATCACGAAGGAAAACAGCATTATCTTCTTCCAGCCCAAAACAAAGCGTTGACAGAATTTTTTGAAAATTTCCATCTTTTCCTTCTAGATGAGTACCATTGATTTTGCGCATTATACTCGCTTTTCAATTACTGCCACATTTTCCAGCCTGAAGAAACAACTTTTTTTTCATTACAACCGTTTTTCATGCAACATTGTTATGAACTAGTATAGTCATGTTATTCTGATATGTGTAGCATCCAATGCTCGCATTGCGCGTCTTATTCTACATCAGACGCCTTGTGTCTATGTTCTAAAATAGTTATTGTAAATCGTGGAAAAGGCTCAACTCTGGAGATGTGCGTCCACTCATCGAAATCCGCGATGAGACGCGCAATGTGTGCAGCGTGTGTAGTTGCACATTTCAGGATATCAAATGACTAGATTGACTACATATAGGCAAAATCTTCATTCACCAGCCCCAAGGGCCACATACTGTTCGAACGAATGATTGATTAGGTTGGTTTAGGTTGACTGTTCCGAAGTCGAAAGTTTCTTGCTCAGTTGGGATGTCAATCTCAAGTCTCTCATAACACATCTGAATTTTCTGGCCTCAAGGAGGAGAAACTAGAAGCACTTCTACTTACCCCAACGTGCGTGCACTTATAATAAACGAATAGTTTTGCTTTAGAAGTCAGTTTGCCGACCGATTGAATCCGTAATTCACCATCGTCTCCACTATTACCACTTCCTACCTCCTCGACAATTGCTAATTGTCAGATGAGACAGCTGAATATATGTGTAAAAAAGATTTCATTAGTAAGTTACCTAAGTGAGCATCGACACTCTTGGGTTGTCCGTTGCATGTGAAACGCCCTGTGACTTCTAAAGATAGTGTAATGCCAAATTCCAAATATAGAATTCCAGCAATAGTGAGAACTATTAGATATTGCATCTGGAAATCACTGTTACCGATCAAGCGTCCGAAAAAATAGAGAAAAAATACAGAAAACTTACCATTTTACAGTGGCAGCGAAAGTCAGGGAGCGAATGAGTCGCAAAGAAATAATTTCCAGTTAGTGTAATATTCAGCGAACACAAGAAATTATACTTGAGACTTTGTGTTTCGAATGACGTGATTGATGACTTTGCCTATCGAGTATTCCAAACAGAAAATAATTCAATGCGTCTATTTGTTGAAATCGACAGTCCATTAGAAAAACTGATTTTTCATCAAGGTGGAAAAAAGAAGTGATCAGATCTATCGGTAGTATTGATGATGCAAGGATAACTGTAGTTCTGTTCTCTTTTAGCAAAATAAGTCGAATTGTGGAAAGATTTTTTTCATATATATATATGCTTACCTAAATCGATGAACAATAACTCTTCTACATTATATGGCATGATTGCGAGAGGAGCTATATAATGACTCAATGCTGGTTCTCCTTCTAGTTTTGAATATTCGAAAATCCATAATGTTTTCTCCTTTTCGAAAAACCCATTTGATGTCTAATATTTGAGAAAAAGTAAGCGTTTTCAGGTCTCAGAGCAACCAGTGTTGACTTATGGGGACGGTACAAGATGAGAAAAAATTTATAAGTGCGCCTACTGTGCAAAAAATGCTTCAGAAAAGTTTGGTAAAATTATTCATTATCAGCGGTATAGGTTTTGCGAATATATTTCTAACCGATAAAATTTCGTCTGGATTACCACTGGCAACTCGATATTGAAATTTTATTCGTTTTCAACTTATCAAAAGGTTTAATATGCATAATGTTATCATAAATTTCATGAAACCATTTTATGAGCATTTTCAAAACAGTTTTCTCATAAATTCTAATGCATTTCCGTGCATTTCCGTAAATTTAAAATTTATCGAATAGGAGCTGTAAATTGCATTTTCAGCCTTAGCTTGTAACCTCGTCTAATTTTGCGCTCGTGCATCAGTTTCTACGAAGCTGATTCATGAACTATAGAAAGAAAATCTACTGTTGTACCCAGGTGGATGGCGTGAGTGGTTTGGAACGCTGCTGTTTGACTCAGTCATTCTTGGAAACCCTCAGATAAAACTTTACTCTCCGTGCTAGCAGATTTTATCTGATTATGGTATGAAAGTCATTATAGATCGGGTCATTTCATATGAACATGTATGTCATACACACACTTTCCATCTTTGGGGTCCCCCTGGACATGTCCGTTTTTGGCGTCTTCATGGATCCCGGAGAACCCCTTCAGGTAAGCTTCTGGTGTTTTCTTTGTTTTTTTCCTCTATAGGTACATACTTATGGCTACTAAATGATGTAACAACAATAGGTTTAAGGCAGCGTCCACCCAAAATTTCGTCTACCCTGTTTTTATTGTTTTCGAGCCCTTTCATTGCGCTGATTTTGGATATGAGGTTCAAATTATCAGAAAGTTTCAAAAATGCCCCTTTTCTGAAGTTCTAAATTGACAGTGGACGAGTTCGCTGGTCAAGTTGTATGCGGCTGAAAAATTTGTTGTGTGCAACAGTGCTACATCACAAACTATGCGGCTCGATGTTGCTTTCCATGTCAGAACAGGTCACGGGGCGATCCGTGAATGGGTGGATCGCAAAAAAGGGGCGGAGCTCAAAGAGGATCCAGGTCCGTTACCTCCTCTTGTGGGATAAGAAAACCGGACCAACACAATTGGTCTGCTCTTAGGGCCTGCTAGTAGGATAAGCAGTAATCTGGATTGAATAGATTTTGGGTGGACGCTGCCTTCAATCTCAAATGTTTTTGCGATTGCAATCCAAATGGGAAGCCAAAGGCGGACGTTACGTGCGACACAAATAATTATATGAAATGACTGTACTATGTACTTATTGACTTTATGTAAGAGATTTGCATCATTTACGATAGCTTGAATCACACAAGACATCAGTGCACGATCGAAATTTGAAGTGATTTGTGCGAAAAATTACAGCTTTATAACTGCAAACGCGCTTCTTCTCTGTTTCTGAAGGAAAATACCCATCCAAAAATCGCTTTGAATTTATCGATTTCATTTTGACTATCTAGTGCTTCAGTGGTTTTGCATCACTTTGTCAAAGAAGTATGTAAATTTATTTCCAGAAAAAAAGCACGCATTGACATGCGGATTGTGAAGGTATTGAAAGGAAGAAAACATTAAAAGGAGGAGAAAATGGACGAGAATTCGACTGAAAATGGGTTTAGCAATGCTGTACATAAAAGATAACTTTGAAACCACCTATTCAAATTGCCGCTCTTTCCAGAGTCTCATCTCCAAAGCCAAGATTATTTCGATTTTTTGCTTCTTTTGGTGACTTTGTATTTACAGCCTTGAGATGGTGTTGTTAATGGAGCAAAGCGATAGCAGTGATTTGAAAGATCAAGAAAAATTGTATATGTATGCAATATTGAAAGACCAATGTTCTGACCAGATTGCGCTACGCTACAGACTAAAAGTGGCTTCTTTTTATGCAGAAAAAGTAGATAGATTCTTTATTGCTCGGATGCCCACGGGCTTTTTGAAGAAATAATGATGCAAGCGCGACGAAAGGGCGCAAAAATATATCTATGTTATATACTATCATTGTATATTTGGAGAGAAGCTCTCTCAAATTATATAATTTCACCAGAAGCGGTTGTGACTCTTTGGATCAGTTTTTCACGGTTATTAACAGGCATTTGAATGATGTTTAATTCTATTAGGTTGTATCAAGTAAACTCCTCTTCCAAATGATTTAAGCTGTTCTTGCTTTTTTAGTGAACTTAGGGTATCATTCGATAGAGCAAATTACGCTTTACGGAACAGCCACCAAGGGTCTGCTTGCATCGCATTCCATTTGAAGTTTGAAGCCAATATCGAAAAAAAATTTTGTCACTTGAAAACTAGATTCTTGCGAGGAAAACCACCAACCAACACCTACGGACCACCAACTTCGTCATTGTACAGTAGGCGCACAGTAGTGCGCAAATGTCCTTGAATGAATTCTATCCGTGCATAGAAAGCGAGAAATAAAGATAGACCAAAAATGGCAAACTCCGGGCCCAGCTTTCCCTCATACATATGTCATTGTATACTGCAAGCCTTTCGAAGAATACCTAGTTTTACATGAAAAACAGGAAAAAGCGGCATTTTGGCGTCTTTGTTTCTCAAGTTTGAGCTCAGGAGAATCTACCAAATACATTTTTGGGTACTACCATGCGTCTGCTATAGCGATCCAGTCGGAAGTCCGTAGAAACTTTGCGAAAGGCGATTCGCTTTTTAGCGTGGCTGAAAAAATCTGATTTTTGGCATCAAATTTTGTGGATTATGAATTAATGGATCTTTGGCACCATATTATAGAAATTGTTTTACTCTATCAAATGGTACCCGGAGTCTGTTAGGGAGATGAAAACAGCTCTACTTATATGGAAATGGAGTTTACTTTTGGGACAACTCAAACATCATCTTTCGGGTTCCAAGAAACAGCAGCGAATGTACTTGTTCTTCAGAATGCTACGAAAGGAGACACAGCAGCGGTGATACTTCCATGCCTTTCCCGTCGTTCACGATAATATAGACGCGCGTACCGAGGTATGGCGCTTGGAGTGCTCAAGAGCATAGAATGATCTTGTTCTTGACCACAGAAGCGAGAACAGGACACAAGAAATTCATTTCATTTCGTCGTCTGCACGCTTCGAATAGTGGATATCTTGGAGTGAGGTCGAAGCAGGTCAATCATGGGCAGCGCTTGGTACATGTGGCTTACAAGCAAGCTGAATATCGTTTTTAGGACAATAGCAAAGAAAATATCGTTTTTATGGGTCTGGAAAGGAGACTCCTTAGAATTTTGCGAAAGTCAGGGAGACTTCGTTTTTTGCATCTTCGGAAAGCCACCTCAGTCGAGCCCTGGTCATGTTCTGATCCCTGGCCCGTCTTTACAAACGAAAAATTTTACATTAGTGGTCGTGCGTTTCAGAAAAAAACTAGATCTTGTTGGGCGCATGTCGAGATATGGAGCCGAACAACTGATCTTTTTCTACTGCTTTTTTGAATGTTCTTTGGTTTTCTGAAATAAAAATCCCGCTTTGTAGGGACTAATAATTGAAAACAAAAACCCGATACAAGTATTTACCACTATCTCTATGTCTAATTTATTGAGTTGATTCCTTCTGGAGAGTTTAAAAAAGCGTTCTACATACAAATTTCACAGAATCATTTCTTGCATCGTGGAAGTTGTTTCCACTCATGATTATTTTTTGGTTTGAAGTGGGAAGAAATTAGGAAGTTGACTTCTCTTATCTTGTAAGTGTAATAGCATAATATAACCTTATTTTGATTACAAAGATTAGGTTGAAACTTACATCCTTGACAGTGCTGGATTCTAGTTGAATTTTTGAGCATTTTAGACCAAATAAAACTTCGGAAAATGTGTTTCACATTCTGTATTTCGGAATTTATGTTAACATTGATTTGTGCTTTTAAGACCAATCAAAAAAGCTTATCTGCCCTCGTTGAGTTATACCAAATTAGTGAATATTCTGAAAAAGGACGTTACGCACTCTGAAAAGTGTGATGCGAGCTTCAACCCTCGACTGAAAATAGTTGCAGGTGATGATGTTATCCCTTTCCGCGGAAAAGAAAACGTTACCGTGGCTAACTCTCAAAACATTTTTAAAGTACGGGTAAAATAGCTTTATTAAAAACGGTCTTTACATATTCGAGGTAAATTTACATGCACATTGTTCAGTTAATACAATCGGTACTTTCGCCAGTAAACTTATTAGCCAGATTGATTGTACCGATGTCGAAGGTTTTTTGAGGAGTAGGTCCATTGGTAACGTAATTGTCTGGGATGGTGATACCAATTTTTTTGTAGCAGATCTGAAATTTTGGGATGTAATAGCCATGAGAATGGAAAAAATTATGAGATGTTTTACCCCGTTGTAGTTGCACTTGTGGTAGATGTTTACTTTCGGATCAATGGTTGTTATTTCTGTTTTCGAGCCAGAAAGACGAAATTCCCCGTTTCCATTGGTTCTTCCTTCATCCATTTTTACATCAAAAGCTGAAAACACACATAGACGATCAGGAGCTGAGAATCAACAAACTTACTCAGCTCCTTTTCGTACAGTTTCACTTTGACATCAGAAGCCGGCCGACCATTGCAGATCAAACGTCCAGTTACTGCTACAGATTGTGTGGAACCAATTCCCAAAAGGGCCAGCGACGACCCCGCAAGACTCAGGAATATTAGAAGAGATTGCATCTGAAATTTAGAAGAATTCGTGTTCCAGGAAAGTGAAATAAAGGTGAAAACAGAGAGGAAACTGTGTTTGACTGCCGCGCATAACAGTAATAGCGATGCTTGACGGTCTGCCAATAGATGAGTCATTCGCACTTTCTTTTTTGAAAAAATAGTATGATTCATCTTATAATAGAATTGTGGGAAAGTGGAAATATGGCGCGGAAAATTGTGTAGAATAGAATCATAATTTTGGGAATAAAATTCAATGATTCATAGCGTATGTGGAAACGGAGGCTACATGCTTTCCAAATATGCTTGAAAATGTCAAACCTGCTTTTTCCTATAAATGTTTCAGTGTACTTTACAATTAAAAACCACATTACCACGTTTTTTTGGTTACCCATGTGATGAATTCAATCAAACATAAAAAATAACATAGAATATTCAAGCCTCAAAAAATCAGAAAAAATATCGTAGAAAATATTACCGGTGAGAAAGCAAAAATTGCATAAACTTCTGGAAATAAGCTCATGAATTATGATAAGGATTTCATTTGTGAATTTTGCTTCCAAAAAAATTTTTACTCGAAAATATGTAGGATGCAGAATTTCTGCAGAAAAATTATTCTGAAAATTCGATAAAAGAGAGTAAGCATATTCTGCATTTGCTCAAAAAGCATGAACTTTACCTGATCTGTCTGCTTATCTAGCAAAAAAACCGAAAATTAAAAATAGGGGGAAATTTAAAAGGAAGAAAAATCTCAGCAGCAGTATAAAATTCTTGCAAGTTTTCTAATTATTTTGGGCGCATTGGAATGGCTTCAAGCTTAGCCATCGGAATGGTCAAAAAAGTGTATCAAATGCGTTTCGGACCTTTCCATTTTAGCTTTGCGATGGGCATCCGCTCAAAATTTAGCAAAGGAAAAACGAACTTTCGGATTGATTTAATATTTGGCAATCGGCAGTGGTGATAAATCTCATTCATCCAAGGTAAATATTTGCATCTGCGAAAGCCAAAACAGAAATTGAGCGACAATGGATATATGGTTGACACATACTGGCGCAAAATCCCCTCTCCCCCCCCCCCCCTCCCTCCTCTTTCCCACTCTCTCTTACTAAACTGTAATTGGCAATTCAAAATTGATAGATTATGTCCGTAGCAATGCAATCTAGTTTACACTCTGCAAATGCTCTCGTCAGTCAAAAAAAAAAGTCTTGGTGGCTAAACGCGACTGCTAACGTAAAAGTGCGAATCGATCTGTGTGATAATTCTGTAAACATAGAGGGCGTTCTAAGAAAGAAAGTCGAATGGAACAGGTTATTTGACCTTATGCACCTTGTTTATGTCTCAGTCGTCGCCGATGTTTGTTTACTAAGCATAACAGTATACATCAGTTCCCAATGCCCCCGATAGTCATCTGATTCGGATTGCGCCCTTAAGCAAAAACAGTCCATAAATGTTCCGAGAAAATATGGTAATATACTGAGCTTCTTTTAGAATGCACTAGTCTGATGTGAGTGGTTTTGGCTTTTTATCTTGAAGACATTTGCACTCTTGAAAATTTACTTTTGGGTTTTTAAAGTTTATGTTGTAAAGTGAATCAGCGTGCGCATTTCAATATAAATGGGATTTCCGACGAACTTTTGTACTAGGTTTTCGCATGCTTTTACTTATAAAAATTCCTTGGCTTGGACTGACCATAGTGTGAAACATGTTAGGTCGTTTCATAAGTTCATAGCATTTACATTCTCCTTCTCAATTTATTGAAAGGCGGTTGGTTTGCAAGATGAGTGTATCGCTGAGGAGAACTAATGATGTTCTTTATAGTGAACCTTTTGGCTTATTGAAAGCTGACCCACTTGACATTTCAGCTTTCAGAGGTGGGATTTCCGAAAGAAAAAAATCATCTTCGATATATGCTCAGTTTTTCTTATAAAAAAAGTGTTTTTGCATAAATTTTTTGTCTACTATGGAAAATGGGGTTTGCATATCATTATGAGGCTGCAGAAAAGGTCCATTAGACAGATCCTGTGTACGATAAATTATGGCTCCGTAAGGCAAACGTCCTCAAAACTGTTCTGCAAGATTTACGCGGAAATTACACTACCATTCAGTGGCTAGTGAAACCTCTTTTTCGAAAGATTATCCGTCTTAAACTATCGCAAATAATGTGAACGGTGTTTACTTTGATTTTAGAGACAACTCCAGGTGTTGTCCAGGCGACTTTCGTGAGACCAGACTCCCTGAGCTTTTGCAAAGCACTGAAAATATGAAGGCGGTACTAGATTTTGACAAAATTCTGTCATTCCATGGTTTATAAAAACTCTACCACTACGAAAGGATCTAATAAAAAGTGATAACTATGCTATACGATAGAGCAAAGCAATTTTTAGCAAGGTGCTTTCCAAAAGTTGCACAAAGTTTGATTCATGTTAAATTCAAAGCCAAGCACTAAAAATTTTGAAAATACCTGAAGCTAGATCCCTGTTAATAATATAGTATTGATTCTTAACTTGCTCAAGACTTCACTCCACACCAGAGCTTTATATGCACAGCTGCTGCATTACTTTCATGGCTGGTTATGGAAGTTAAAAAATTAGTCAAGACATACAAAATTTTCGCCTTTTTTGATTTTTGAGCTAAATCTGATATTTCTTGGGAAAAATGGTGGAACTTCCAAGTTTCATAATAGTGCGAATACACCATTGCCTTTGCAGAATCAATTTTTGTTCCTCCTTTCTCTTCTTGAAAAAAGCAACAAAATACTTGCAAATATGTGAAATAAAGAGTAGTGCGTGAAGACTTCGAAGATCCGTTAGCTTTTTTGGGTGCTCCAATTTTTGTACCTTCAAAAAATCCAGCAGTTTTTTGAAGGCCCTTCGTGGATCTTTCGATTTCACCGTATACAGGTAACTTAGCTTTTGTGCTGATGTTCGCATTCCATCTTTCAAACTTACTTTGCTCTATCGAACGTCATCGTGCCGCGTTCGCATGAAAACAAAGCATTGACACTTGAATGGCAGGCCATGACGCGGAACAATGCTCTTAAAAAAGTGTCTAATTGAAGCAACAACAGTTTGAAAACTAGGAATAAAATTAAACTGGATGTTTAAAAAATCATAAGAGGGGGACTAAAAATATGACAGTGCCTAGCATACCTTTGATACATAGAGCCATGTGCTCTGGTAACTTTCACTTCGAGCGTCATGGTAGAACACAACCTTCACCTGGAGAAAAAACAGAGTCATCAAGCGCGAAGCCCCAGATATTATGTCATAATTATATAAAAGTGAATGTTAAGGAGGCAAGTCAAACAGATTGCGTTTTTGTAGCCTTTCTGCTGAAAAGACAGAAAAGACAGTTTTTATCAAAAAACATCTCCAGAATTTGTGCCGACAATTTTCAGCTGACCTTTTTATGACCTACGATTGAGTGTTAGAAGTTTACGAAAGCGGTTGGAGTTCAATGAAAGCAAGAAACTGCGCTTAAATCTTGCGCAGAAAGTTGCACATATATATCGGTTCATCTCGTTATGGAGCGAATTTCAACATTCGCGACGTTGTCAGTGCTCCTGTGCGTGTCATGGGAATCACAACGACATATAATGTTTGGTTAGACTCCGCCGAAATGTACGACTAGAGCCAAATGCCCCGTCGGCTCTGATCTGTCTCCGCTGCTCGTCTGCGTCTTCACGCGTTACGCGCTACCTCGCCACCCCAAAAGCGGGGCGCGAGGCATTTAACCCTGGTACCCTTTTCTTCGCTGTTTTCAATTTAATCCTAGCAAATAGTATTAGGTTGTTACATAAGTCTTGTTACACTCTGTATACTTACAGCGATAACTCTTACGCTTTATATTTTCACTAGGGCTGTAGGGTACCATTCGATAGAGCAAAGCAAGCTCTACAGGATAACATGCGCATGTTCGAACTAGCTTCGATCCGCCGCAAGTTTGAAGCCGTAATTCGAGTCGCACTCAATGCTCAAAAAATCGAAAAAATTTTATATCTTCGTTCAGAAACATCCTATGGATCTCCCGCTTGCTCATGTAGATAGCACTTCACATCACACATTCATATGCACAGTTGCTGTATTCTTTACTCAACTAGAAATCGAAAAAATCGAAATTCTTCTACTTACACAAAAACGAATCTGCGCTGTTTTCACGCATGTTATTGTTTACTACAGTCCTTAAAAAGTACCATCGTAAATTTTCAACTTCGCACAAGCGCTAGTTTTCGAGCTACATCGAATTTAGCCCTCTTCACTCGGGTGTTCCGTATTGAAATCAACATTTCTCGAAAACTAGACCTTATGAAAGGCTGAAAATATACGTTTATATTTCTTAAGGCCTGTAGTAAACAATTACATGCGTGAAAACAGCATAGATTCGTTTTTGCGTAAGTACAAAAATTTCGATTTTCTCGACTACTAGCTAAGCAAAAAATACAGTAACTGTATATATGAATGCCTGATGTGAAGTGTTATCTATATAAGCAAGCGGGAGATCCGTAGGATGTTTTTGAACAGAGATATAGAATTTTTTTGATTTTTTGGGCACTGAGTACGACTCACATTTCGGCTCCAAACTTGCGGCTGGTCGAAGCTAGTGCGAACCTGCGCACGCCATCTTGTAGAGCTTGCTTTGTTCTATCGAATGGTACCCTAATACCCTACTGAAAATGTGAAGCGTAGGAGTTATCGCTGTAAGTATACAAAGTGTAACAAGACTTATGTAACAACCTAATACATCATGCTAAAGCTGTTAATCCTTTCTTTCACGATGACAGCGTCGGAGCACCATTTCCTGATTTGAACGAGAAATCAGGCAAAAACCGTGTTTTCAAAAATCCCTTGTTTTTTTAATTTAGCTCTCTTCAAACGGGTCTTTTGTGCATTTCATAGATCTTGCCTCCATTCATAACGTAGACAACGTCGCGGGGCTAACTTCTTCGATTGTGGTGAAATATCTAGTATGAAGATGCAAAAGTGTTTTTGTTCATAGGCCTTTACTGGAGTTAGTAAGCAACCATTTCTCA